ACAGGATTTCTCAAACATGCATGAATGAGTCAAAGTAAGACTCTGGGCATGTTTTTGATGAGAGGATAATATTATAACATGAAATAAAAATCAAAAAAGTTGATTTTACTCAAAATTGCCCCTTTAAAAATACGATTTGTTAACAAAATGTCTAATCTTACTTAAAAGTCCAGTTGATTTAGTAATTTTTTGGCAGATGTGTCCAATATGGTCCTTCCGACAAAGTTTGTCATCAGTCCAAAAATCCTGCTGATGGAAACTTGCATCATTTCTTCATTATTGATATGAATTAATATTACTAGGTCCAGGATCTCTGGGTTTATGTAATTCACAACTGAAGCTCGTCTCCATATGAACCCTGCTGGGAACTATAAATCGTGATTCGAAACTAGCTCTGGTTTTCAGGTGACTGCAGTCTTTGTTCACTGGCTACAGTTACACCTGGACGTTGCATTTCTGGAACTGTCRTCAGCAATGATCAATGAATTAACTTCTATTAGATCTTGGACAGTTTCTGTGTTCTGGTGTTAAATTAAAATAAAAGGCAAAAGAAGAAAAGTAAGTTTGTGTGTATGAATGTTATGTGTGTTGAACTTCCTTGTAAATAAAATTTTAATGAGAAAGAAAATGACATGTGGCCTCTGGCCTCTTTAAGGAGAAAATAATATAAATTCTTTATCTGTTTAAACAGTATTTGTGAATAATGTGATTACCTSACAGCTGCCTCCACAAGCTCCTTTCCAACAGGAGTCGACGGGTYGTCTGGTGATGTTACCACAAACCAAAAGGACACTCTGAGAGTTTCTTTGCACACGTTGATGTTTGACACACTGCATAAAGTCCAAAAGACAATAAAGAGCTCATCATCATCACAAACCGTGACTCACAGCTCTGATGATGGCAAATAAAACTCAAAAACTGACCGGAGAAGAAAAAAACGTAAGAGTTTTCTCACCTGTACTCCTTTCCTGTGTGATTACTCATTGCATAAGCCATTGCTGCTTTGAAGAGGAACATTTCATTTTTATTCCAGTTGTACTGAAAAATAAATAAGATCAGTTCAGTTTAGATCAGATGGTGGGCTGTTTGTCATTGAAAACATTTAAAGTTTATGGGCTAMAGCACAGACTACGTCCTCAGAAAAAGAGCCTGTAAAAAACATCTGGAAAACATTCAGGATATTGTTGCAACTTAATGTTAGAAACATTAGGGACACTGTGTGAACAGTTCATACTAAAGTTAGCTAATTATAGATGTTTATTTGGCTGTAATGGGTTTAGCTGAAAACAATACAAAGACAACAAAAGGAATTTGAAAATGAGACATTTTAACGGATTTTTCTGTGTTTATTTTGAAAACGATTAAAAAAACTGCAAAATCGAGGACAGAATTTTACCAAATTACTAATTTAACCTTTAAAAGAAACACTCAGAAAGTGTTTGGGAACTGAAAGAGCTGGTTGCTGTGGTTTTATCYAGGTAATGTTTTTGTAGTCCTTCCTGAATAGAAAGCAACAGTTCAGAACTCATGAAGTTAGGTTCTTTGTAGAAATTATCAACAATTATTATCTTACCTGTTGTAGATAAGGTTTTGAATGGTTTGGAGAAATTAAGCTTATTTCTGATTAATTTAATGAGCTACTGGCTACTCCAAGTGAGGAATACCACTATCAATTTAGTGTTGCCTAACACAAATGTTATTTTACAGACCTTAACCCTCGTCCATTTTGAAATRCACAATTATTTCTACAGATATTTCCAAGCTTAAATAACAGCAGTMGCAGCTAGCTGTGGCACTTCCTGCAAAAATGTTGAAATATTTCTGCTGAAATAACATAATGTGACATTTAAAGGATTTTAAATGTTAATAAAGTAAACATTTACTGTACATGACCTGCCATTAAATATTGAAGACTGGAGTTATTTAAATATAACAACAATCCACATTGATCCTCGGCCCACTCAGACTAGCCATTAGCTCATCATGATCAGGGCATTTGTTTGTTATACTTAGTGTTTTCATGACTATAACGTATACACTGCCTTAAATATGCTGTCTTTTGTTTTTCTTTGACAAAGATTATAAAGTTATTGACAACGGTGCWCTGGTCATGTGACCTTGTTSATTGTTGCTCATTAGCTAAGAGGACAAACATCTGGACTTGGTGTTTTGGTAGAWAATGGCTAAATAAAGCTATGTAATGCAATGTTCAGACTGAACACGTTTTGAGCATCAAAAACTCACAAGCGTCAAGTTGGACGGTTGTGCTTTTTCAGGTCAGATGCGTTCGTTGTGAACACAGCATCTGCTTGATGCGCGTCTCTTGTTTTTTTCCTCTGCTGGTCTCTGTTTAATGGTGGATGAAATAAAGAAAGTGGCTTTGTTTTATTTACTGAGAGCAAGAGAACCAGATAATTAATTCACCAGATAATTCAGAGGTGGCTGGAGTTTGGTGAGTTTCACCACAGGAGCTGCAAGCTTACGAGGCTCACTTTCACAACTATTTTTGTCCCGAGCTCTTGATGAGCCACCGACCCACATYGGTGCCAACATCTCCTGCCAGGACACAGACTACAGATGGTTGATTTCAGCTAAAAAAAAATTCCTGTCTGTCTGTCTCAGGTTAGTGGACAACATTCAGGAAACCGTCACGTCGAACAATGCACTGCAGAGCAGAGCAGAGTCTCTCTGATTGGTTGACGCATCACATTAAGCAGGAAAAGTTCAGATTTTTCAAATCCAGCGTCAGCTGCTTTGGACGTGTTACACACATGTCCATCCATCCATTTTCTTCCGCCTATCCGGGGTCGGGTCGCGGGGGGCTGCAGATTCAGAAGGGAGGCCCAGACCTCCCTCTCCCCAGCCACTTCTTCCAGCTCCTCCGGGGGAACTCCAAGGCGTTCCCAGGCCAGCTGAGAGACAT